ACTCATGAAAAAGTAAAATTTGGCAAAAAGATAAACCTGGCTGGTTCGGTCAAAAAATTAAAAGCTGCTGACATTTCAACATGCATGACACAATTCATGACTTTCATGTCAAAGAAAAAGCAAGAGACCCAGGAAAAGGAGGCCCTCAGGGCAAAATGTGCATCTGCCAGTTTGTAGAAGGACTTCCAAAAGCGAGCCTACGAAGAGGGACGAACACCGGAAAGAACGGAAATTGCATGCGCGTCCTATAGTCCCTTCTCATTCAGTTTGTGCTAGAAACGGAGCGTTTCCGTAGCCTCTCAGTGTTACTGGTTGCCCCCAGGGCCCACACTGCGGTACTCGGGATACTTGAGTCCTTGGAAACGTTGCAGAACAAAGAAAACAAAGAAGAGCGAGAGTAATCAGATGTCACATTTTTGACCTCATGCTGTAAAATCATTGATGTGCGACGTACTTTACTACGGTCTATTTCAGGGAGGATTCCACGATAAGAACGAAGGTCGAAGAAGGGGAAACTTACCTAGTGGAGAGACAGGCGGACCCCCTAAGGGTGCGGACCAACACGCAATTCGCATCGAAGGATATGCCCCGGCGATCTAGCATGGCCTTCCCTTGGCGCAGTTGGCGCGGAACGCCCACCGACTATCTAATCACTCGCCGCAGGTCTATACGCGGCGAGTGATTAGATAGCAGAGAGAGCGTTAGCGTTGAAGAGGGCACAGCGATGAGAGTCGCATCAATGCGGAAATCAACGGGCAAGGAAGGGGTCCCATTTCTCGGGTTTCGGGCCGTTTCACATGGTTTCTTCTTCATCCCTGCTCCACTGACCACCTCTACCTTATTTCCAATGAGCTTTTTCATCGTGAAACCCGCCCTTAACTTGACGCTTGATCGCTACAGTACGCGCTGCGATTCGTCTCCCGTCTCTGTCTTCTTGCCGCGCGGCGGGCCTCTTGTCGGGTACCCACTGTTGTAGACAACCACGCCTGACCAGCTCCTCAAATATACGCCGAAAACGGGCTATGAAAATTGCTAAGAGCTGAAAGAAAGCTATTTGTTCGTAGTTTCTATGGTGAAAAGGATGCAGTTTATTGAATCTTCAACTCCGAGTGGCCTCTTAGATCCCTTGGAAAAAACTGTACCTGTCCTGCATAGTAAGTTGGTGGAAGGATAAGAAAGCAAGAGTGAGAAAATGATAACCCGCCCAAAATGTGGACCAACTTGAACCGAATCGTCATTCCTACTGAAAGGCAATCCGGTTCCGGTTAGTGTCCGGTAAAAATCGCAACTACACTGAAGAACGTTTCAAAATGTTCCATAACTACAGAAGGCGGGTGGTGGGGTCGCGTCTCGTATCGAAACTAGACTGATAAATCGTTGGAACGCCGATTCTTAGTCTCCGTCTTCACTTTTTTACTTTTACCGCTTTTTGCTAGATTATGTCGTATGGGTTGAAAACACTTCCTACCAGGGTGAATAACGGTCGAGGAAATCCTCGACCATAGCTCTGCTACTGTGGCGAGAGTAGTGCCGAGAGTGAACGTACGCGCGGAGAGCATAGACGGCTCGCACATGGCGAGTGTGAATGTCGGCGCGGGAGAGCGTAACTGATCAGGCAAAAATCCTCGACAGCCGTTGAGAAATTTTCGATCGTTATTCACTTTGCTACCTACCATTTGCTACCAGGGTCAACCTTGCGTCTGGCCAATCCCTGGGGGAGCCGTGCTTGTGTTTTTCGAGGGTTTTAGATTTTTAGTTTTTCTGTATTATAAATAGCGAAAGTAGTGGTACGAATCGGACGCTCATACCACGCGAGCGGTCCGGGATCAAATCCTGGGTCGTGAGTCGCCCGGGCCAACCAAGCCTTCCTCCGGGTCGGTTAATTGGTACCAGACTTGTCTGGGAGGATAAAAACACTGACTTGTACATCGGCTGGCCCCCGCAAGTCATTGTATAGGCCACATCGCATTCAAACGCCACTACGAATGTACAAATGGAAGTAGAATGCGTGCCGCATCCCAAAAAGGATTGATCAACGGCAAATGCTTTATCTTTCTGGTCCTCACAGAAAAATTTCTTGAATTGTCGAAATTTGACTATTTCTCCAGAAACCCCACTCAGTGGCATTTTTGAAAGGGGAATTCAGGGCTGAGTGTTGGAGTGTCAACCGTCTTAGATTTAAATAACTATGGAAACAGCCAAGGTGTTAGGATGGTGAGGGAGGCTCCTGAAATTGGTGGCGGTTGGGAAGGTGTCGAGACCTTTAAAACCTTTGGGGGGTCATGATAATTTCGAAATCGGATTGACGCCATCGTATAACTTCGTATAATGTATGCTATATTGACAGGGTAGGCGCAGGTTAACGACCAGAAAGTTAAAATAACAGATGAGTTCGACTCGTGTACCTGGAACATGATCCACTGTTCGATGGGAACATATGTATGATGCTATTGATTGTCTTCCGTTGATTGTAGAACCTTTGGTCGCCTGGGAAGGCATCTATCGTGGCGTGCAGTATTCAAGCTTGTTTGGCCCTTTCTAAGAACAGCCCTTCAGGTTGAACGGGTGATTGTCTTCCCACATCCGGCCCGTTCACAAAGACTTCCTAGGTTCCTTGCAAAATCGAAGTCCCCGAGTGCTCGGAGTTTTAGTAATTTGATCCCAGGCTTGAATGTATGGTTCTGACAATGAGCTGTGAGTCATTCCCAGCTTCTAGATTTGTAAAGCTGTATTTTTTGCCATCTCCACTCCTTCCTCCTTTGTGTATCAGCATTTCATCCCATTGGCATTTCATCCTCAATCCTCGTCAATTCATCAGTTAAGCATCTCTGACATTTCGCTGTCAGCTGTTTCTGTACACTACGAGTGACATAAACTATGTCGATCTAAAAGATTTTAACCCAAAAGTTTCTGCTTTTTTACGTCGCTCTTATTATAACAACGAACATCGTGCAAGCAGAATGAATGCTTATTGATTTCGGCTTCTTATCCGGGTCAACCTTGACGATGGTAAACTTTCAGGTCCAGGAAGATCTTCCCACCCCTGAAGGGGGCTCTCCACGCGATCTCCCACCACTCCCTATATTGCGTCAGTTTTGAGTGTACTAAATTTACTCAAATGGACGAGCAAAGAGTCGTCACCAAACGTCAACTCAGTGACGGTATGAAAGCGGTATTTGGTTAGTTTTGCATGCGTGGCTCCTTGCCTGCATTGATGCGACTCTCATCGATGCTGCTCTCTTCAACGCTAACGCTCCCTCTGCTGAACGGCTAGAGACTCAGACACGAGACGACGCGAGAGGGAGGCGTACCGGCCAATAGCGCGCAATTGCCACGAAGGTAGCCCACCGCTTGGGGTATACCTTCGACACGCGCTGTCTCTCCATTAGTAACGTTTCCCATTTCTTCGCACCTCCTTTTGCTCGTGACTGGCGATTCTCCTTGCAACTCTTCTGTTATGCATGCATCAGATAACAATTAAAAACAATGCCGCGTCACGCTCAACGAGTTCTATGACACAGAACAGTCAAGCGGTACAGATGATGGGATTCTCGCACTCTGATATGGCACGCGTCGGGTGACAAACAAGAACAATGCTAGCGCCCGCACAACGGGTTCCATGAGCAACGGGACAGCAAGCGACAGGTGAGGGGATTCTCTCAGGTCGTTCAAGCCGCTCCCGATTCACCGCAATGAGGCGAGGATAAGGCCGATGTCAGACTTTGCGAATCGCGCGATTCGCTACTAGCGATTCGCGCGATTCGCTAGCGTCCGCGGTCGCGTTGCGGTACCAGCCAATTGAGTGATTCACTGGCCGCGACGCGACCGCAGACGCTAGCGAATCGCGCGATTCGCAAAGTCTGACATCGGCCTAATGTAGCAAATTAGGGCGAGCACACACCTTCGGCGCGTACTTCTGGAACAAACTCTTCAAGATTGTCACGGAAAACACAAACACATCAACACGTATTTAACAAACACCACAGAGTTTATTCCCGACGATAGCATGAAGAATTCACTCAGAACACAATCAATCGGTCACTTAAGTGAATGAACCGGTATGCAATATCCAGTGCTAGCTAGTAACGGTAGTTGCGTTGGCGACGAGGCGACGACGACGAGATGATCACGATTATCTTTTCCAGAATTTCCGCGAGAACATCTGTTTACGGACTTGCAATGCGTCTGAATTGTTCTCGTTGACTCTGGTGAGCAATTGAGAGACCATTGACTGCAAATCGTCCTGTCTCGGTACACGCAGTCCAGCTGCTGAAGTGCCATCATCGCTGTTTCCAAGCATCTATAACAGAATAACCTTTGAAAAGGAAATTGAAAAGAGCTGGTGAAGAGTTTTCATCTCATACAACGCAAACTTGCACACATTTTCCTTTTCCTAACTACCATTCAACACCTCTACAGTATCCTATTTCCTCCTATCTCATTAGCACTATTATCCACTTTGTTTCCAACAGCCAGGTGTGTCGTAGTGCAGACCAAACAACACAAGTGACGACGATCTTCACAAAAATCTGACAAGATAGTTAATAGTCCACAGAGACAGCTGATAGTTGACAAATGATAGTTGTATTAGTGGCAATTAGTGTAAAAATACAATTGCAATCGGCTAATCATTTTGCTGGCAGAAAACATAACATTTTATGAAGGTAGTCGTCACTTATGTTGTTTGATCTGCATTACAGACACACCTAGATGTCGGCTACAAAGACCCTTCTCGTTATTTACATGGAACGGTAGCAAATGGATATTTCCTATTCAGCCTATATCCCCATCATTTGTGAACTAAATATGGTTGCAGTGGCATGGATGTCAGCCTTCAGATAAGGTAGACGAAAGATTCGTTCTCGCTAAAAGGGGGAGGAGTAGGAGCAAATCGTTCCAGACAAGCCGCGCTCAGATGAAACTAAAAGAAGGGGCGGGGCGGGCGAGGCAAAAACTTCAGGGGTTCCTATGCATGTAAGCTTGTATGCTAATGCAGAAAACCATGTTCCATTTCCAGTGAACGATTACAGTAGCATCGAAAATGTATTCAAAGATCTGTTAATTGGTCGATTCCCCGTGGTGCAAAACATTCGCATTTGTAGTTGGCGTCTATGGATTGTTTCTAAGATGGCGGTGCAAATGTCACAAAAACTTTGGATGTCATATTCATGGTCAGGACCTTATTGACACCAAGTCATAAGCGTCAACATCAAAGGAGAACACGGCAGCCTTTTCCTGCAATTGTGGTCGAAAAGGAGGCCCTAGTTGAACTAGTTAAGAGTGGATCCTAATGATCGTGCGCTGGAAGGTAGAGGTAGAGCGCTTGAGTGTGATGGATCGACGGTGCGCAAACGCCTTCATGAGCCAGGCTGTACAAGATGACAAATATCTCCATATCCTAATATCGTCCGCCAAAAAGTGTGGTTTTGAACACATTCCGTAATAACTTCGTAAGAAATGTTCTGTCGAGAGTTAGAATAAAGCGCGAAAAAAGAGAAAATGTTTATGAAGCTCGTCATCAACTACCATTCAACTTCTAATCAAGGAAAGCGATGGGCCCTCTTATGAGGCCGATAGCAACCGACTAGGTTTAGGCCGACGTCAGATGCGAAAATACGAGGCAGTATACGCGAAGCGGCGCAGGTCGCGTAATGAGTACAGACGAATGACTGGATCGCTGTGACGATCGCGAACGCGGACGCGCACGAATCCTTTGCAGAAGTCGAACATAGCGGCTCACAAGCGATGGTGTACAGACAACTTGAAATTCGCTCAATTCGATACTCTCGTACTGACCATCTAGGACTGAAGCGGCTCATGAAATTACTGAATCAGATTTACACAAATAAACTTTTGACAAATTGTGATGTGCTCGAACGATGAAGGAGTGGCCACTTTCGAAGCCTTAGTTGGGTGGGTTTATTCTTCTTCTACGGAATTCGGAGCCCAGCCAAGCTGAGTGCTCTAATCGTATGTGCTCTAGCCATTCTCGGCAGAGAATATGGAGGAAATTTTAAGTAGTCACGTAATGGGAGATATGGGGCCGGGTGCAGCAAGCCCCGGCGAGGGCATGGGCCCCCCCATAAGTCTGGGCAAATCTTGGACAGATCCTATTCTTGTTAGAGTCAAGAGGAACTGACAAATAACTCATACTTTCTTAAAAGACGGCGGAAGATGCGTGATCCGCGTTCAACTCGATTTATGATCGCTTTTCGAACATGAACAATATACGTTAGATCAACTATCGCGTATACATATTTAAATACCTTCTAAATTTTAGGAATAATTTCATATTTTTTTTCAAATAGTTTTGCTCGCTATAGTTATAACCGGCGGGAAACGGCTTTGTAAATCAAGATATTAAAGCGAGGTGAGCCTAATTTTCCCTTCTTTTTTTTTGTTCTGGAACACTCTGTAATTCATCGACCGGAGTAGACACGCAGAGTTCTGGGGATCCACTCCCTGGCCGGGACTTGCCGCACCCGGCCTGTTGTCTGTAATCGCATGATCCGCAATCTCGTCCATAAACACGTCGCCCACGCGTCCCCAGGGCACTTAGTAATACCATGATGAGGATGGGGTGTCGTGAGGACGTAATTTTGCGGACAACACGGAATAATCAGGAATCACAAAAGCTATGTGTTTCAGTCTCGGAAAGAAAAAAATGACTGTACAGGTGAATTTCGCGTTTGAAAAAAAGTGCCACAGAAGATAAATCAAGATCTTCATAGTTCGGTAAGTATTACCGGACTGGATATAATAGTGCAGGCAACATTCCATCTGTTCCGAGAAAGTAATCCAGCATGAAGCAATTAAGAAGGAGGCAACAATGGAGCTAAATAGCAATTCTAGATAAAATGACGTTAGCAGAAACTTTACGATCTTTGAAAGCAATTTGTTTAATGGCTCTGCGTTAAAAATAAACTAATTCCGGGTTACCAACATTTTGTTATTTGTTGGTAATGTTGCTGAAAGTGAGAATAAAGAACCAAACGAAGGTCTCAAAAGATGTAAAGAGAAACACTATCAGACGGTAGCTCCTATTACAATTCACATGATTCGGGGGTTAACAAATCAAAATAAAAAAAAAAAAAAAAAAAAAAAAAAAAAAAAAAAAAAAAAAAAAAAAAAAAAAAAAAAAAAAAAAAAAAAAAAAAAAAAAAAAAAAAAAAAAAAAAAAAAAAAAAAAAAAAAAAAAAAAAAAAAAAAAAAAAAAAAAAAAAAAAAAAAAAAAAAAAAAAAAAAAAAAAAAAAAAAAAAAAAAAAAAAAAAAAAAAAACACACGCACACACCCCCTCGGCTAAACCGAAGTTATTACTACTTAAGCCTGACCCCAGCACACCTTTAAGTGGATTGGGTATCAAAATTGGAAGAAAGACAACGCTGATTTTTCAGCCCTCGCAAGGCTCCTGACCCAGAACGTAGACTTGAAAAAGTCCCGCGATACTGAAGAAAGGTCCAACAGGCATTTTTTCTCACAGCGATCGGCAATCACTTCCCCCTTCAATATGCAGCTGTCGACCCTGACTCGACTGCTATTTTGACTAGCAGCGTTCCAATCTTTCTGATGGTGGTCAATTAACACCGGGTTCCCTTGGGGTTTAGACGCATTCACCGTGGTCAACATTTGGTGTCACTATTTGCGTTCATAAATATCCATGATTCTGGTGAGCGCATGTGCCGCGCGCCCATTACTGGGCCAAACAGCTGACATTATTATCGTAAAGAGCCCAGTAATCAGCATGGGTATTCCACGATTATCACCCTATTATTTAAGCCTCTTTTCCCTATTGATTACGAGTAAAAATCAAGCGAACATTTAAGTGTTTGTGCGGAGGTGGTGTAGTGGCGAATGGCGCCACTTTCCACGCGTACGGTCCGGGTGTTAAACCTCGGATCAAGTCTCGCCCAGGTCAACCAGCCTTCCATCCTCCAGGGTCCATCAATTGGTACCAATTCAGGGTTTGAGGATAAAAACGTTGATTTGTAAGCAGCCCCCACAAGTCATTGGATAGGCCATACCACATCCAATTGACACTACGATTATGAATGGAAGTGGAGTGCGTGGCGCATCCCAGAAGTGGTTGACCCATGCAGACAGCTTCATTCCTATAATTTTATGACTTTTCTTTGTTTTTTCTCCCTTGACTAGTCATGATTCATTCATATTTAACAGAACTGTTGATGGGCGCCATCACAAGACGGCTAGAGGGGGGGGGGGGACATTGCGGTGGTAATGTATTCAAGATCGCCTAGAACATTTCTTTTTTGATAAAAACGGGACTAGGCCTTGAACACGGGAGGAGAGACTTTGGCGTGCATGAGCAATTTTCATTGTTCCCGAACTTCCTGCCCGCTCCTAGGAGTTAGTCCTAAGGATGCCCCCGCATCTTGCGATAGCGCCTGTTGGTGATGTTAGCACAAGACCCATATCTACCTCAAAAATTTCAGCAGATTATTCCTATGAATCACCCACAGTGAACATTTTCTTCAAGATGCGCCACGCCCTTCACTTCTATGCAAATCGCGATATCGGTGCAGGCCAATGTGTAACTCTGTGTTTTTGCTCTCATAAAGGACCAAAATAAACTTTTCCCCTTCTCTTAACCAGCCAGAAGAAATGGAACCGGAGTACTTGGATGAAACGCGGTCCGAGAACTGATCTACGGAACATTAGAAGCAAATGGCGCCGCCTGCCATTGCATCACTTCCTCAATGTATTTATATGCCAATAGAATTATAACCTCGTTGCCCCCTTGTGCGCTTGCAGATAGGGCTTCATCACAAGCTGAAATCAGGGGAATTCCTACGAAGATTAAACATGAAATATTCATGCAGGGAGTGTCACATAACGTCAGTGGTACTTGAAGTACAAACAGCTGTGCACCGCCTGCACAATTCGTCATCTCGGAAACATAAAAAATGCCAGCGGAAGTCCCAATCAACCTCAGCCACATGAATTTGAAGAATCTCCCTTGAAGGTACACATCACGTTACCATAAACACGTAACAAGGTTCAAATATGGACCATAAGTTAGTTGCCGGTAAAGAAAGAGAAGAAACTACAGAAACATCCTTAATAAAATCTTCTTGTATCTTGGGGTGAGAGAGCATAAAAGACAAACACTTTGAGAGAAGCTGTGCGACAGATGAGAGAACGATAGACAGAGTCGAAAGAGTAGAGTACGAGATAGCAGATACCGCAACGGTAGGCGTGCATGCTAGTATGGAACCTCTATACTTACATGTTCCAAGCCCCCAGCAGCCCGTCCACGCGTTTCGATAAGCAAAGGTGATAATACTTCTGCAGCTGCTGACCGGGCAACCTCATCCATTTAAGACTTGGTCCAATGAACT